CACTGCAGCCAATCATGCATCAGAGACCCAGGAGGCACCTGAGAGAGATGGCAGCCTGGACACCGGTGTGGCAGCCCTGCTCTGTGACACCAGGCCACCGGGAATGGAAATATACCTGACGGCAAGCGCCTATCGACCACCCACCTAGAGCACAGATGAGCTCTGCTGTTGTTGTTACTGTTGTGTACCATCAAGTCAAAACTGACCCATAACTGGCCCTCTGGTGGGTTTTCAGAGGCAGTTAATTGCACAGGAGGAGAGTGCCCATCCTCCTCCTGGGGAGCAGCTGGTAGACTCAAACCATGTGCCTTTGGGGATTGGAGTGCAGCTTCTTGCCACTAGGCCACCAGAACAACCAACTGGATTAACTTCGTAAGGACTTATGTTTCATTCAAGTTGCTGCCAAAGCGTGGCATTCGCTGGTCCTTGTGATTCCTTATTATGTAAGAAACAGGATTCAGTCCTTGTAGCAGAAGCCCCATGCCCCACAGCGGTCTAGTAATGGCTCGGAATGTACCCAGAGGTCACTTCTCCATCCCTCCTCATTCAACACTTGTTCTCATGACAGGGAATGGCACAGAGGGAAGGATGGGCAAAGAACCAACGATGTCACAAGAATGAGTGCAACATAGACAGACCTGAACAACTGACTGAGCCACCAATAATCCACGATACGGCAGACTGAATGTACGGCAGGAGCCCCGTGAAATGAAGAGGCCACAAGGAACAAGTGTTCTAGTCCTGAAGATGCAAGAAGGTTCAGGGTCTACGAGGGAATCAGGCAACGTGAGCAGCCGCAGCACAGTCCTCACTCAAGAGAAAGGTACTGATGGCAAAGTCTGTATCAGGCTGCGCAGCCAATCGGCAGGAGAGGGTCTGCAGCATTACCAGAGCTGTGGATCAAGGGGACGACAAAGACCGTGAAGGGGTGGAGAGGCTGGAACCCTCACAGAGTGCCAATGGGCCTGGCAAGTGGCACAACCATGGTACGCCATTCCCTTAAAGAGCTGGAAATAGAAACATCACTTGATCCAACAGTCTCTCTCCTCACTACACGCACGTCCTACAGAAACAAGAGATGTGACATGAACAGAGATATGCACACCCAGGTTCACGACAGCATTATTCACAAAATGATGGAAACAATCTACGTGCTCATCAGTGGGGCCTGATAAACAAGCCGGGAACACACACACAAGAGGAAACTCTACAGCTTCAAAGACAAAGAAACAAACCACAAGACGCATTGTATCGTGGATGAACTTGGAGGACATTGTTGCTGAGTGAAGTCAGTCAATCCTAAGGGTGGGTATTCTATTGCCCAGCCAACCCACAGGCACACAGTTCAGATACTACAGCTGCTTTGCAGGAAGAAGCCAGGCCATCTCCTCCCGTGCGATCACCCGCCTCTGAAAACCTGCTGGAGGGTCAGCTATGAGTCAGTTCTGACTCTACGGTATACAACAACAACAGCAGGACCCCAAAGTCAAGGAAATGTTTAACTACAGAAATAAACATTCTGTGAAGGTTGGGGAGGGAATGAGAGGACACAAGTACCTAGAGACGCTTTAAGGACTGCAGACGCCTTGCTGTGCATCAGAACTGACCCACAGCTGACCCTCCAGCAGGTTTTCAGAGGCCGTAAATCACGCGGGAGGAGACTGTCCAGGCTTCTCTCACAGAGCAGCTTGTGGATTAGAACTGCATACCTTTGGGACTGCAGCACAGCTTCTTTCCACCAGGTCACCAGAGCTCCTTGATTAGCAACCAGGGTCTTAAAAATGTGTGTGACCACTGCAGGCCCAACTATTGGTTTTCCTCTTTCTGGAGCAAAAAAAGAGGGAAGAATCTATCAAAGCTGCATAGAAACAATTGGCCTGAGGAATGAATGATCCACATGGCCAGCAGCCTCCACTGTCCTGTGTCAACGGGAGCCAGGTGGCGCCTGCTGACCACTGCTAACAATTTAAAGGTGGTCCAACAGGTGGTCCTAGACAGAGCAGGAAAATGTGGAGCAAAATGAAAAAACCACAGAACAAGACTAAGCTTATCGATCTGATGATGACCAGTGGGACCCCTGACGTGTCTCTAGACACAATTTAACTATTCAAGCCACCTCTGTGGCCCAACCTTCAGCCAAACAATGGATTGCATAAGGTGAGCAATCACACCAGGGAAGGATGCAATCCCCAAGTCAACCAATCACATGAGATCAAAGGGTAAAGCTCAGAAGACAGACAAGAAGGACACATGGACAAGGTAAACACAGGGAGGAAGTGGGGAGGATGCTGCTTCATTGTGGGGACTGCAGTCAAGGTCACACCTCCAAATACACTTGAACATGCAATGAGTGTTCTCTCCCCATCTGGAGCCAAGAAGAGTGAAGAAGTCACAGGACTGACTGATGACATGAACTTCAGTATCCATGACCTTGATGCCAGAACTAGGCCCGGCTACCATTCCAGACTCCTCTGAAAGAGATCACTATAGGAGAAAAGGGTGGAATGAACCTCAAAAATTATAAAAAAATGCCAGAATGACTAGTCGAATGGAGGCTGTGAATACACCCAAAAACGGTAGTCTCCTTCCAACAGCTAAGTACCTGTGACAGAACATTGATGCCACCAAGCAAACTCAAAACTCACTGTTATGAGTCAGAGCCTATCAGAGCCAAGCCAGGGGACATGCACAGGTGGTGAACTGTTGGGGAGGAAGGGAGGGCCTCTAGCCAGGACAGATCACCTAGCTCTGGATAAGTGCAAGCCTCCAAACGGCCTTTAAAATGGGGTAGAGAAAGTTCTCCTGTGTTTGGCTGTACCAGCTTGAGAAAGCTCGCCACCTGGGAAGACAGCTGCCACATCTGATGAGCTGGGAGTGGTCCGCACGAGGCTGAGGTTCTCCTATCCAATCTGCATGCCCCACATCTGCAAGCCCACCCTATCCTGTCTCCTGTTTACTTGCTCGTATATAAGTGCACTGCAGCCTCCAATAAAATTGAGCTGGATCGATTCTCTGAACCATTCCTGGAGTGGTGTGTCTTCATTGTGCTTACTCCCATCAAAGTGTTGCCTTTCCTTGTTGGTGAATGGTCAAAGGGAAGATACTGCCCATCTTTCTCCTGAAGAGCTGTTAGTGGATTTGAACAGCCTTCCTGGGAGTTAGCAGAGCAACTCCTTACCCACTAGGCCACCAGAGCTACATAGGCCTATAAAGTGATCAATAAGGCCATGGAGGAATGGAGGCCTTAGGATCATCAGTCATATAGGCTAAAAGGTCAGAATGTTCCCAGAGGTGAAGCTAAGAAGACAGGAAGGGGTTTGGGAGGGGTGGAGGGGAGAACAAATGGCAATGGTACACACAGTGAGGAAGCAGGAAGAGTGCCACTACACTGTGGGGATTGTAATCAATGACACAAAACATGATACGTATATACTGACAGATGGAAAACCAATTTGCTCTGTAAACTTTCACTCACATCACAACCCAAAGTAACAGAAAAGGAGAGGGAACTTAGATGCATACTGTTAAGCAATGACACCTTTATAAAGCTATACTGCAATTAAACGACGTGTTGTGATGGGAAAGTCTGTGGTTAGAGACCTCTCTAAAGTACTGAAGTGCAACAATGTCATTCTGGAGACTAAGGTGCACATGATACATGCCATGGTTTTTGCAATCACTTGTTATGCATCAGAGAGCTGGACAATGACTAGGGATGATAGAAGGAGAATTGATGCCTTTGAGCTGTGGTGTTGGAGAAGAGTATTGAATATACTATGGACTGCTAAGAAAATGAACAGGTTTGTCCTGGAGAGGGTGAAGCCAAGCTGCTCTTTGAAGGCAAGGATTCTAAAGCTTTGTCTAACGTACTTTGGCTATGTTGCAAGGAGAGACCACTCCTTGGAGAGGAATGTCACGCTTGGGAGGGTGGAAAGACAGCGCAGGGGAGGAAGACCCACGATGAGATGGATCGATTCAGTGATTGGGGTAGTGGGGGTAAGTGTGTCGGAGATAATGAGATCGGCACAGAATAGGGCAGGGTTTAGGGCTATTGTACATGGGGTCGCTATGAGTCACAGACCACTCGAGGGCACATAACAACAATATACTATATATAATCCCAACAACATGACACCCTAGAAAAGTTAAAAGCATAGGGATAGCGAACAGATCTGTATTGGCTGCGTGGGAAGAGGGAGGGGGAGGAGGGATAAGGATAGGATCACACAGGAGTCTGAGACTATGAGACTGTTCTGATTCTGTAATCATGTGTACAAGACATTGTGGGTTTGTCAAAACCCACAGGACTATCCACCTCAAGATCAAGCCCCAAGGTGAAGTATGTCCTTTAGTTAGCAATCATGTCTCGATACTAGGTTACCCCTTGTAACAATCTATCACTTGGATGCAAAATATTAATCACAGAAGAAACAGCAGGCAGAGAGCACAGAGGGCAGGCGCTAGGGGACACATCTGTAGGAACACTGCATGATAGTTTCCCCCCTACACCTGAAGCTGCTCCAAAAGACAAGTCTATTAAAGAATGTTTAAGAAAAACCTTTTCGGTAAGAGAGGGTTCCCTTGCCCCTTACTGTATTGGCTTGAATGTCTAGAAGGCCTGCTTCGTGACTGGCGTCTGGATGGGAGGCACTCACCAGTGTTGGCAGGGAGGAGGATTTTTTTTACAGGGAGGGATCAACCATCATCTACCAGCATGAAGAGACCTTGATTGTCGCAGATGAGTTCAGGGAAGAGTGGTCGCCCTGGGATCCATGGCCCCTCTACTCAGAAGAGCTCGTTTAAAGCAAGGAGTCAAATTGAGGGATTTGTTTGTCATCAGCCACCAAGCGAGTCTTGGTCATGGGCTTGACGGGTGGTAAGAAAAACCACACTACTCCAGTTCCAAAAGCTCTGAGATCAAGGAAGTGTTTGAAATGTACAGAGGGCACTGAAAGGCATTTAACGTGGGGCCAAGCCCTAAGGAGAGAAAACAAACGTACCTCTGATGTCCCCAAAGCGGCAGAGAGGTGTGGCCATAATGGGGTCCTTATGTGCAGCCAGTGAAGGAGGAAACCACTGTGATGGGTCCACAAAGCCATCTGTGAGGCGCAGCCAGGTTCCTGAGGGAGACGCATTCTCTGCCCAGTTCCTCCTGTGTGATTACACAGCCAGCCGGTGTGAGCACACTGTGTGAGCACGCGGCTTGAGTGTGATACATTCTCCACATCGTTTCCCCTTCCTGGTTATACAGCCAGTCAGTGTGTGCACAATGTGTGTGCAGGCAGCCTGCTCTTACACACACTCGTACGCACATGCACACACGAGTGGTAGCTCCAGAAGACACCTGGCCCGTCTGTGGGCTTTAACTAGAAGAACAGAGGCCCTAATGTAGCCGTTAATACATGTAGCTGTTAATCTAAAGGCTGGAAGTTAAAGTCCACCCAGAAGTATCTCACAATGATGATCTACTTCTGAAAAAAGCTGTGGTGCACGGGTCAGATATGACACACGTGACCCTCATCATGGTTCACGGCTCAGCTCTGACACACGTGACCCTCATCATGGTTCACGGCTCAGCTCTGACACATGTGACCCTCATGGTGCATGAATCTGCTCTGACACACGTGAGCCTCATGACTAGAGTTGACTTGACTGCCACTGGACCTGGCACTGGGAGAACGCTTGTCCCTTCATGCCTGTGGTCTTTGCTCAGACTGTGAAATCAGGACCAGACCACATGGGAGGAGTGGCTTTCACAAAGTGGAGGTACAGGAGCGATGCCCTCCACCACCTCTGGAGTCCCTCCAAGACACTGAGAAACAGGGTGGACTCTGCCGAGGCCCCGAGGTCTGTGAGGTAGGCCACCTTCACGCCTCTTCCTCAAGTCTAAGAGGTGGGATCTTGGGGTGGATTTCAGCCTTTCTTGTCCAGCTGGGAGGGCCGCCTTCCACACTCTAGTCTCTGTTGCTCCCACACGCATGCTCAGCTAGCTGGACCCATTCCTCCATCCTCTCCTCAGTTCTTGACCATCACTGGTGTACCTTCACTCCCCAGTCAGCTCACATGTCACATGCGTGCATCTGGGACCCTGCAGGTGCAGAAGCCATGGCTTCTCCTCCCCAAGCTGGACCCTAGACAGCAGTAATGCTGGAAGGCGCCGGGGTTTTTACTGTGAATCATGGTGCTTCACAGTCTGATTCCATGCACACTTCTCCAGCAGGACCGTGCAGCAGGACAAACACTGCTGTCCCTATTTGACAGATGAAGACAACCAAGGCTCACAGAAGTGGAACGACCACGAGGAGGGGAGTGAGGAGGGGCTGAAACGCAAGCCCAAGGCTGCCTGACTCAGACCCTCCCTGAGAGCCTCTCAGAGGCTGAGTGGCGAGACCCGCTGCTCCTCCCATCGGCCGCTGCTGCTGGGGAAGAGGTGAGATTCTCCTCATTGTCTATTTGCACCTGGCCTTGTCACCAAACTGTTTGATGCAGCTTTCAAAACCAAATACAACAGGATGTCAAAGGAAAAAACAAACAGTAAGAACATGAAAATTTCAAATAGTGGTACATTAGGAAAATGAAGCCAAGGTAAAACTAGAAAACAAAGGGAGCTCTGGTGGCCTAGTGGCAAGAAGCTGCACTGCAATCCCATAGGTACTCAATTGGAATCCACCAGATGCTCTGCTGGAGAAGGAGGGGCAATCTCCTCCTGTACCAGTCAGATCCGATTTGATGGTACACACACAAAACATAGTAAAATTTTAAAAAAAAAAATTAGAAAACAAAACTGAATACCAGCTAACTTTATCTGTTTATAATCTAATTGCACAAGTAAAGTGCAACTATAATTGTGGCTCTGAGCTTCCTAGCAGCCTAAGAGAAGAAGGAAACATGCTTCCACGTGGAGTTAGTGCATGTGTTTTAGGGGCATTACTTTCCCCGCCCCTGAGTGCAGCCTGGAGAAAACAGCTCACAGACAGCTCATGGTCTTGATCCGTAAGTGGGGGAGAGTGGCTTTCAAGCCATGTCCCCACATGACTGAGGTGCCATGGAGTGAGGAGGAGGAGGAGGAGGAGGACGAGGAGGAGGCCGGCTCTGGTCCTCCAGGGTCTCCCCTGCCTCGCCCAATCTGAGCTCCAGGAGAGCAGTTCCTCTTCTGTGTGATGGTTAGAAAACTCAGCATCTGTATAGCCTGGAGCCAGCTGGCTGCCTATTTCAGCTTCCCAGGCAGACAGAAATATCATCATTAAAATCTTTTATGCCCCCCCCCCAAAAATTGTCCTCTTTCCAACACCTCAAACTCACAAGAGCTTTTCATGTTTCTACCACCAAAGGGTCTTCAATCACACACAGCAGCACATTGCTTTTCCCATCTTTTCTCCCCTCCTCTTCCTCTTCTTTCTCCTCAAAGAAGCCATCGGCTATGGATTCAGAGCTTCAGCTGTGCTTCAAGAGATACCGTCCAGGAGGTCCCCAGCATCACTCAGGCATTGCGTTTGACCACAAAGCACTTCTAAAAATTCTAATGTGTTGATGAGAGACACTGACGGTTCAGTGAGAGTTCTCACCCCCAAGCCAGGAGACACAGACGAGTTCAATTCCTGCCCCAGGCCCTTTGCGTGCAGCTACCACCTGCAGAAGTCAGTGTGCTGCCATGATGTTGAACAAGTCTCAGCTGAGCTTCCAAACAAGCAGACGAGGAGGGAAAGCGTGCCTGGGTGGAAGATCTGGTTCTGAAAACGAACCCAAACTCAGCTCATGGCAGACCTCCCCTGGGCTTTTGAGGCTGTGTGGACGTCTTCAACGGGGCAAATGGCCTCATCTTTATCCTGCATAGTCACCGAAGGCGAGTCAAGGAGAACTATGTGGCTCACAATAGACGTTGATCCAGGGCTGAAAGAAGTGCCCCAGGCTGGAGGGCACTCAAAATACACAGTGGCCACGACAATGGACGCAAACGCCCCAACAATGGTGAGCGAGTCACGGGACCAGGAAACAGCTGGTTCTGTTGTACCTGAGGTCACGGCGATGGCAATGAATAACAACACAAACAAAAGGGAAGTTGGCTATCGAAGGGAATCCATGGAGACCGCACTTGGATAATCACTACATAGTTATTTGGGGGTAAGTTTTCCTTCTTAAGCACCAAGTTTCTCAAAGAAAACTCAGCTAAACTCTTTGTTCTATTTTGGCTGAGAAAGTGGAAATTGAAGTGGTAAATGAGTGGCCCTTGAATAGGAGGGCAGCGCTCTGCAGTCTTAGATCCATGGAAAGCAAATCCACCTCATGCGTGTTACTCTGTCCCATTCGCTTGGGAATGGCCCCGTATTTGGGTTCTTAAAAAAATCCTGCGTTAGGTCCCTGGTGATCGAGGAGGAGGCCATAAGGTCAGTCATGGGTCAGGTAATGCAGTTTGTTGAACGACTCGACTGGTTAAAAGATGCCCCAAAAGCGCTTCGAGACCGCAGCCGGCACCATGAGCCTCCTCAACAAGCTGAAGAGTGAGGTGACCCCGGAGGAGCTGCAGAAGCGAGAGGAGGAGGAGTTTAACACGAGCCCACTCTCCGTGCTCACGCAGTCGGTCAAGAACAACACACAAGTGCTCATCAACTGTCATAACAACAAGAAGCTCCTGGGCCGCATGAAGGCCTTCGACAGGCACTGCAACATGGTGCTGGAGAATGTGAAAGAGATGTGGACCGAGGTCCCCAAGAGTGGCAAGGACAAGAGGAAGTCCAAACCCGTCAACAAGGACCGCTACATCTCTAAGATGTTCCTGCGTGGGGACTCGGTCATCGTGGTCCTCAGGAACCCCCTCATGGCCGGCAAGTAGGGCCACCCTTGTCTCTACAGCCCTGTCCCACAGCCACCTCCTGCCGCCCTGGAAGACCTGTCCCCCCGTGTGGTTTTTTTCTACTAAAAAAAAAAAAAAAAGATGCCCCAAACCTGACAGAAAAGAATGTCAGAAGATTGCCATGGAAACAGCAAGAATATTCGCTATAATGGTTTCCATTGGCTTCTTGGTGAAATTGATCCATATCCCTATTAATAACATCACTGTTGCCTGCTGAATTCCTTGTGCAAGGGGGTGGGGTTTGCCTTGTTTTTGTTGTTTTTTCCCTATCGTGAGAATTGATGAACAATCAAGGATTTAGGAAACTCATGGAGCAAAAATTTACCACATTTTTTGGGTTTTTTCCCCCCAGGATTTTTTCTATTTCTAAATTAAAATACTTTAAAAATGAAAAAAAAAAATCCTGCTTTAAGACACTGCATCACGGAACCAGTAAGGAGCTTGGTGACAGTTCAAGTCCAGGTCTTCCCCTTTCTCCCACTTTATACATAAGTAAACAGCGCTTGACGATGGTCAAACCACACACTCACTTCAAGCACACAGAAGCTCCCAGCCCACCTCCTGTGCTGATTTTCTGCCTCTGAGAGGCATCCCTGGGGAAGGGGCTGCTTTGAGCCACGCACAGAGACACCGTCCATCAGAGAGCAAACCCCCTCACAGGAGCCCCAGAATATCCTTTGCACCTGTGGAGATTCATGTGATGGGAAAGGAGGCGAGGAGGAGCCAGGTGGTGGAGAAGGGGAGCACTCGCCAGTGTGACCTGCAGGTGACTGAGTCCCAGAAGGAGGACTGAGCTGTCTATTAATGAGTACCTACCACACCTAACACCCAGACTCCCTGCTCCGAGCATACAAGGGGCCGATTATCTCAGCCCTGTGGTTTAGATAAGATTATCTGGGCTTGTGGCTTTGGCCATGGCCAGGGGACAGAGGGGCTCACTCAGGGGCTGCTTCCTGCTCTTGCTGCCAACTCATTGCCCAACTTTCCCTGGCACCCTCCTGCTTCACCCCCTAGCTGGTACCCCACACCCAGGGATTCCACACTGAGAGGCCACAGCCTTTCTCAACTCTCCCCCTGGACAATCTCATCTTTCTTCTTGACAAGCTCTTCCACACACAAAGAGGCAGATTTCCTCGTCTGCTGTTTGCCTGGTATTCACTCGAGCATCCCTTTCCTGGTCTGTGCC